TGTATGGACTACCTAGAGGTCCATAAAACGAGCCTATAGCCGCCATCTTATTGGTGGCTTCAGAGCTGTGAATATCATCCCAAAAGAGATACTCAGACCGGTTTGCACAAACCGGTTTGTTTGGTACACAAAGTTCTTCCCCGGGAGATAATGTACAACAACCCTTGTCTCCAACCTTAAATCCTACGACATTGTGAGAGCGAAAGTAAGTTCAACGTTTTATTTCGCATTTCAAATATACAAACCATATAGTAAATTGTTTCATTTACAAATAAAAACTGTTAGACAGATAAGAGACTTTGAGCATAGTAATTCATATTTTAGACTCGTTGTTTGTGTATCTATAAGGAACGAGTTCTAATCAAAAATTCAATATGTTTTGCTATGATTGACATAACACTCATACAAGAGATTTAATCAGTCACTAGTATTGTTTACGAGAACTCCAGACTCATAGGAATATATACTACAAGTTGTACATATATATGTGTGTATGTTAATTTTTTTTTTTTTTGACATGTGTGTATGTTAATTATTCTTATTTTTCTTTGTATATTGGATAAAAATGTAAAAATGTAATGAGTCTTGATAGTTTACCTAAACGAGCGAAAGCTAAGGGATCTCCAGCAGAGAAAATATCGACGTAGGTGAACTCAGCACCTTTGAAATTTTTGTTGAAATCATTTACAAGGTCTTTTAGGTTATTATTGAAGATTGCCACGGCAGCGTTCACATCTTTCGCGCAACCTTGGCCGCCACCATGGGACACAATCATCTTTGGTGTGCAACCTATCAGACTGATCGAGAAAAGTGCTATCTTTCTCGCTCCTAGACTGTGTAACCTCTACAACAACAACAAAAACTGTATATATTTAGAAACGACGTATAGCTGAAATGTAAGGGGTGCACAAAAAAAAAATATATATGCAAATTTTTTTTGGTTTCGTTTGAGATTCTCCAAATAAAACTAGATATCTTAGATTCTCGAAAACATGAACGTAAAGAAGATATCTATTTTTATTCCAAGATTGAAAACCTGAAAATAATTTAGAAAAATTCAAACCCAAGCCTTACTGAAATATGTTAAATTAACTATAAAGTGTTCCATTATACCTTCAAGTGAGTACGATAGAGTCGGTTGAGAGAATATGCATATTCATTAGGGTCAAAAAGGCTACTCGTGTTGTACAGTTCTGACATGAAGTAGTTGTTGATGTAATCGTTGCTTCCGATGTTGATTGTATAGAGACATTGTTCCAGTCTTTGTACTGGCACCTTTGCTTTCTTTATCGCCTTCTTGTGGTTTTGTATTTGCTTTCTTAGACTGATTCGTCCACCCTATATATCTCGAGAGATCAATATTTTATCCAAGATGTAACAAGATGTAAAATTTATGTAATCCTTCGGTGCTTTTATTTAGAAAAAGCTTCTTTTGTTGTTGTTGTTGATGTCATCTTATAAGTATGAATGGATTCATATATATAGATATATACTGATTGTTTTGAATACTATACCAATGAAAATAAATGTGCGAACATCTAGTTAATTTTTCGTTTTCATTAATACAGGAGATCATCATTTATTTTTATCAACATCATCATTATTTATTAATTTATTAATTTACTAATTTATTAATTTATTAATTTATTAATTTATTAATTTATTAATTTATGAATTTATTAATTTATTAATTTATTAATTTAGTAATTTATTAATTTATTAATTTATTAATTTATTAGTTTATTAATTTATTAATTTATTAATTTATTAATTTATTAATTTATTAATTTATTAATTTATTAATTTATTAATTTATTAATTTATTAATTTATTAATTTATTAATTTATTAATTTATTAATTTATTAATTTATTAATTTATTAATTTATTAATTTATTAATTTATTAATCTATCAATATATTATTTTATTAATTTATTATCTTTCTTTCATTACATATGATCTTATCATCATTATTCATTATCTATCTTATTAAAACAAAAGTACCAATAAAATGTACCCCTTAGTTTTTCAAGTTATTTCCATTGTATTTATTAATAATCCTAATTTTTAGTAATGTTGTCTTTTTCAGTTAATTTAATACATTTCTTATATTATTTATTAATTTTAAAAACAAAATCATTTTTGGACATCCCCTAGATTTTCTCATATAACAGTTTATACTACTGATTTTTTTTTCTAAAAATATAGAAGTTTAAATATGAAAATATTAGAAATGCATAATAACTATGATTTACATATTCAATCATGTTGGACCATTTAATAACATATAATAAACCTTTTTAAATACTGATTCATTAATGCTTAAAATTGTCATATTAAACAATAATTTAATACATATATATTTTAAAATTATATATTATTATATATAAAATAAATATATATATTTGCAAAAATGTAAAAGTAAGTAGTTTATCATTATTTAAGTAGTTCTTACTTCTTACCAAATGTTTACTAGTTTCTTTACGAAGTCCGCCTCCACCAGAAGCATAGTTCATCCCTATGTGTGCTTGTTTGGGTGATGCTCCGGCGAATGGTGGAATAAAATCCCTAAAACCCGATAGTTCACCTGCGAGAAAAATAATAATATACAAACATATATATATATATATATATATATATATATATATATATATATTTTACAAAGAAGGTAATTGAGCACTGGAATAATTAAAATCTAAGGGAATACTAGCTAAGGTGCATACATTTTATGTTTTAAAGAAAATATTTAACTAAATGATAATGCAATTTACAGCATTTGTTAACATATGAAAACTATTTATGTTGATTGGATCTAATAACATTGAGCTAAATGGTTTACCAGTATATGTTAGTTTAAAGATTAATGTTTCAATTGAAATGTTATTTTTCATTTATTCATGGCTTTCTTTTAAATACTGAAATAATATATCGAAGATTACAAACGTCAAGTTACTCAACCTGAGACCGTATATATACTAACCGATAATATCCGCAATAGTGCGGCCATTGGTAAACCTGCCGGTCGGGCCTTCGGGAAAGTCTATACCGTAAGGTGAATAGTTAACTTTTGCCTTAGATTGCAAGTTATTATTGTTACCACTATCGAAAGTTGAATCTCCGAAGATGAAGTAACATGGAACTTGTTGCCCGTAAACCACCGTTGCAGCTGCAAATACTGTGGCATAAACAACCCAAAATGCCTTGGACAATATTCCTTCAACCATTTTTTTGAAAATTAAATCACAGATATCTGAAAACAAGAAATCTTTATAAATATCCTTTTAAATACAGTTATATATAAGAGAGGCCGGAAGTTAAAGTTTATATTTGAAATTGATTCTATGAAGAATATTAAAAGGCTATTTTAATGGAAGCGGTAGTGAGGAAATCAAGGAAAACTACGAAAAATTTGGGGAGAATCTTTAATTTAAGTCAACTTGACAAGGAAAACTATCCATATCATTAGAGCATACTACTCTACTCCCATGTTACACCAAACTATCGCCCTGACACATCTACAAAATCTATTAAATATTTTTGCGCTACCGCGAATTATGTATATTGAATTATTAATTTTTTTTATTTGTATGTAATTCTTACTTTTTACAATATTTCACTTAAATTTTTTTTCATTATACATTTAGAATAATCATTTTTGTTGTATTTTTAAACTAGGTGGTTTGTCTGCACATGTGGACATAATTTTCATACAATTTATTATTAGTCTATATTTTATTAATCCAAACCAATATAATAAGTTATGATTTATGTTTTAAAATTAGTTATAAATAACAACACTCACATAAAAAATATTTTAAAAAAATATTTTTACAAATGTGTTGCTTTAATTTATTTTAACTATAATTTTTTCTATCTTAATTGTTTATTCCTATAATAAAAATATATTTTCAAGATAACAATATAATACATAAGAAGTATTTTATTTTCTCAAAATATAATTTTTAATAGAAATTCATTTTATTTTATAATAAATTTTATATGAAATTATTAAAAATATGAAAAATAATCAAAACTATCTAAATCATAGAAAAATTACAAATCAGATAGTTCACATAAATTTTCTAATAGAAAATATATGTTCAAGATAACAGTTTAATACATAAGAATATTCTTATTTTTTAAATCTAGTATTATCAGTATACATTCATTTTATCATTTAATGAATTATATATGAAATTATTAAAATATGATAAATAAGAAAAATATAAAACCATGGAGAAGTTGATAAATCAGCATTTCTTTCTTTATATTTAACTATTAATATTTTAACTAAATTTTCAATTTCTATGATAAAAATATATTTTAAAGATAACAATATAATACATAAGAATTATCTTATTTTCTAAAAGTATAATATTTTTAATAGAAATTTTTTTTATTATATAATAAATTATTCATAAAATTATTAAAATAGAACAAATAAGCAAAAATATAAAAATCATGGAGAAGTTACAAATCAATCAGTAAATTCACTTGAATTTTATAATAGAAAAATATATTTTTAAGATAACAATTTGATACAAAATAATTAACATATTTCTAAAATATAATATTATTAATATAAATTCATTTTTATTAAATAATAAATTGTATATGAAATTATTTAAATAAGGTAAATAAACAAATTTACCTAAAATCAATGAGAAGTTGACAACTAAGTAAATTTACTTCTTATATAATAGTATAGATTAGTACTTTACTATTTTTATGCTTTATTTATTGTATATATGAAAAACTTATTTAAACCGTATCAAATTCATTTATTTTGTTGTGTAATAGGTTGCTATTACTTGAAACAAAAAAAAAATTGTAAGCAGTTTAGCATGATAAATATGAGGAATTAGTATGTAATTCTTACTTTTTACAATATTTCACTTAAGTTTTTTTTTTCATTATACATTTAAAATAATCGTTTTTTGTTTTATTTTTAAATTAATACTTTACTATTGTTATGCTTTATTTATTGTATATGTGAAAAAAACTTATTTAAACCGTATCAAATTCTTTTATTTTGTTGTGTAATAGGTTGCTATTACTTGAAACAAAAAAAAATGTGTAAGAAGATTAGCATGATAAATATGAGGAATGGATATTGGAGTTATTTTTTCATAGTATAGTTGTGTATCTTTGCATCATTTACTTGAAAATGACTAAAATATCACTATAAATAAATGCATGAAGCAGAATCATCATGGTTTGATACTTTCACAGAAAGAATGGATGGGGATGTTAACCAATAAGGACACAGTGAGATGGAGAACGCTGCCCAATGGGTTCCTAAAATGTAATACTGGATCATCATGGATGAAACCCAACCAACCTAGTGGTGCCTCGTGGGTATTACATACTGAAAATGGGGTCACAATCATGCATAGCCGCCGGGCATATTCCTATATGCGTACAAAAACAGAGGCGGACTTATGGGTTCTTTTTTGGGCGGTCGAGCGTTTACATAATTTACATTTCTCAAATATAATTTTTGAGACATCGTCCGAACACTTACATGAAGCTCTCACTAAGCCTGATGACAACCAAAACCCCCTTTTCAGCCACAACCGCCACAATATCTCTTTTCTTCTGGAAAGGATAGACACTTGGAGTCTAGAACACGTTCTCCCTGAACGCAATGAAGCAGCGACGGCGATTGCTTTAAGTGTCACTCGTGATCAACAGCAACAGTCCTACATCGCCAGATATGCTCCAGTGTGGCTTCATCACCTTCTCGCTATGGAGGTTCATCCATAAGGGTTTTTTTCCTGGTGAGCTCCTATCCATTTTGTTATGATGCCTAATGACATCCCATTGTTTATTTTCTTTTGTATTGGTTATTTTCCAATGTTGTAGTATTCAAACTGTCAGTGTTATAAAAAAAATGCATGAAAAGAACTACAATTACACAGCTAATAATTTTGTTTTAGGTCTACAATAACATTCTCAAATTGACTGTTATATAATGATCTTAGGAAATAGAACTGAGACCATTTTTAACATGTGTGATAATATAACATTGAATTTCAATAAAACAAACTTAGTAATTCTAATATATCATGATTTAAAAGTATGTTTCTAATATATGATAGTGTAATATCTTAATTCTAAAACCACTTTTTTGTGCATGTTATTTTAAATTTTTTAGATCTTTCTTTTTTAGTTTTCTCTTACTACAATTTTTTTAGGCATTTCCATGCTATTTGATTTGATGCATCAACCAATTAGCCACCACATTTTTTTGGGTGAGTGTTATTCTTCCGTGATTGGACGCCTAAAAAGAATACCTATATTTAAGGTGAATGTTATGTTTTTCTAATACTCCTTTCATCTAATTATAATTTTCATTTTAGATTTGTGCATACGGATTAAAAATATTTAATTTTGGATATTTTTAAATTAAAATATCATTAACTAAACATCAAATCACATTTCAACAAATAAAAAATAGACTGGAGATTATAAAGAATCATATTACACATAAAATTAATTAATTTGTATTGAAATTATAACAAAAAAATATTCTAAAACAACATTTGTTTTGAAACAAATTTTACTATACAACGACAGTTAAAATGAAATGAAAAGAGTTGTAACTTAAGAATTTTGCAAGAGATTACATCAAAAAAATTTGATATGTAATTTTATAATCAATTAAAATATAATTGCTTAAAACTTCATATACTATAAAGGTTAAATTTTCTTACATTTTCAATAATTACATATACTAGAGAATTTACCGCGCTACACGCGGATAGTTACTTTTTAAATATTACACTTAGTTTTGTTATGTAAATATAAAATATTACAGAAATATCATAATTAAGTATATAAACTATGCACAATGTAGAATTTAGGATATGCGGGGAGATATGGTCTGTTTTTTTTTGTTTGAAGGTTGCATGTAGATTTTCACATTTTGCAGTAAATTACTTTTATTAGTTTGCATAATTCTACACTTGAGTTTAGAATTAAAAACTTTCTGTTTGTCGGAAAAAATAAAAATAAAAAACAGTCCGGATAATGTCAAAAGTTGTTCTTACATGTGTTTCCTTGATTGTTATCTTCTGAGCTAAGGTGTAGATGAGAGGTCTATCTCTAAATCATGTACTGAACCTCACTCTTATATTTTCTTTGAAGTCGTTGACGATTCTTATTTTTTTGTTAAAGTAAAAATGTGTGACATATCTTGAGAAAAGAATCCTATTTTCTGTTAATAAGGTTTTTAATCAGTATGTATTAGACATTCAAATTTTTATTTATTTTTTACCTTTCGATATCGTAGGGATACTGTTTGTTCACACAACAACTTTATATTTTTGATTGTTTATGCTTTACATCTCCCTCGACGGAGATGCTTGGTTGTTTCGTAATGTACAATAGAACCTTTATAAATTATTAATATTGAAAGTTGAAAGTTTATTGATTTATAGAGATATTTATTTTTCAAAAGTTTCTTTATTTAAATTTCTTATTTTAATATATATTTATTCTAAAATAAAAAATTGATTTTAGCATAATTTAATTTATTTTAAAAAATTGAAATTTATATATATATTTGGTATATATAATATATATTGCATATACTTTTAATGTGGTTTTAGATTATATTACTAAAGCATATCAAAAATGTATTAAGTGTTAAAAAAATATAAATATTAATTCCATTTTGAATATAAAACAAATAACATAATGATAGGTTCTTACTTATATAAAATATGAATATATTTAATTTATAAATATATAAACTTATATTTTTAATGGGACCATATATTTACATGAAATTTTTAAAAATTATTATCTTATTATTTTATCGATTTCTGTTTTGAACTATCCCAAGTTGGGACCACCAAAATTTATTAATTTTTAAAAATTATTAATTTATCAAGTATTAATTTATAGAATTCTACTGTATACAGTATTTTTTATATTTTACTATTTAAGATCTATATATAATTAGATAATTTAAAGTATGTGGAATGCCTCTCCATTCATTTTACAAAATAAAATAGTTAATTTAAACTATGGAATAATTTATATTTAAATATATAATTATGACTATATACATTAAAATTAAATTATACAATGAAATTAAAAATGAAACTGTTAAGTGAAAGAAAAAAAAGAAAATGATCTCTTAGTATATACTAAAAAGTTAACTCCATTACCGTTAAGAATAATAGTGTGTCATATGGTTTTCTAAAATCAGAGCATT